GAAATATTTGCAGTGTTCCTGCCCATTCATGGGTATTTACAGTGCATAGGAAAAATCCGTCTTTTTCAGTCTGGTGTCAGATGGAAATCCCTAAAATGTTGTAGAGGCAAACTGAGTTTGATCATTTTTGGTCAGAGAGACAGGTTCATGCATGTGTTTGCTGTTCAAAGACTGCTAAATTCTTCTGTCCATCTTCAGAGGTAATTCTACCATATTTTCATTAGGCAGCCTAAATGCAGATGGGAGCATATTTCTTCATTACAGGCCAAAGTTCATCATCTATTTTAGAAAAGGACAAACTGATCCCTAATATTCAGATGCATGTAATTACTTTTGTCTTTCTTTTTCTGTTTAAGAGCACCTGTTTGGCAACTAATTTGCCCTTTTAGCCTCACGTAACAAGAAATATCATTAGATTCAAATTACCCCCGCAGTGCTTCCTTTGGTGGTTGTGTAATAGTCAGACTGGGGGATTACTCTTTTTAATAAATCCCAGAGTGACTTGTATTACTCTTGTTGTGAATGTCAGGTGCAGCACCTGGATGCTATCCCTGGAGAAGACCTGCTGCTGTCTGGAGAAGTTTCTTGGCGCCCCCTTGTGGAAATGAATGCCCAAAGCATCGTCAAGCCAGCTGCTCCTATGTACAATGATGAAGGACTCTGAAATGTTTGCTGTTGACTGTGTCTTGAAGTCTGTATTTGGAACAGGTGCTGGAAGTGGGACATCTTATGCTGTGGAGCTCCCAAGAAGGCAAAGAATAAATACAGTATTTGCAATTTGAAAGAATGGTTAAAACTCCCTTATGTGTACTGATTTTCACCTTTAGCAAACCTGGAAAGCATTCTACTTTTAGTATTACATCTGTGGTGAAAAAGCTGCTAGTTCATTTAAAGAATCCCTCACTGATATATTATCCAGTAATTCCTGCACACTGGTTCTAAGAGGGAGCTTATGTCTTTTGAGAGCAAAATAGTTTACCAAAGTGACATGACAAGCAAGCTTCCTTTTGCCTGGCAAGAGGGGATCAGCTGCCTCATGCCATCATTCTCTCTTCTCTGACACTGGGAGGCATAAATATGGTTGTAACTGCTTGGATGCTGCATGAAGTTTTGTATGAGTGTTCTCTCTCAAGGCAAGCAAGATACCAGAATGGCAAAGCCTGAAAAGAAATGGGTGAGGGTTTCTGAAAGGATGGCCTGCAAATTCCCATCTAACATCAGACTGAAGGTTACAGACAGGAGAGCCGGGGAACCACTTCCTTGCTTACATCTGTGGCCTGGGAGCAGAGATGTTCATTGACTCAATAGGAAAGGCGGGGCTTGGGGCAACAGCTAGAATCCACTGTTCAGCCAGCCACTGTTGTCTTCCTGCTGTGAAAGCTTTGCAGAAAGCTTTGCAGTAAGAGCAGCATTTCCTGTTTGCTTTGTTCGAGTTATCACCATATAAAATAATGGCTTAGGATCCTATCTGACTTATACTTTGACCAGGTGTTGGTTTGCTGAACTTGTTTTTCAAAATGGTACCTTTGTTCAGGATCATCCTTGTCTGTATTACATATGGAAGGTTAGCCCATTATTCCATTCTTGGAGGAAGAATTTCCTTCATCTCTCTTGTGGTCAAAATCGTAATTGGTGGTGGCGGGGGGAAGGGGGATCTTTGTTTTCCTTGCCATGTAATGCCTTTGTTGAGAAACTGGGTAATCGTTCTCCACTACTTTAGGGGTTTGATCCTAATAAATGTACTGAAAACAATATAGACAGATGTCTCTTTCATTTTGGGTGACATTAATACAAGGTAAAAAGTGTCCATGTATATCTATTTTCTCTTTGACTAAGGGTGTATCGGTGGTGCTCTGTTCTTGAGACCATCTTCTCAAAATTTAGCCCTTTCTTTTCAGCATATTGGTTAGCGTCTGTGTCTCAGTGAGCTACGAAATATAATCTGTAGCACAAAACCTGCTATTCAAAGGGTGCAGCTAGCCGGCCAAATTGGCTACTGGTAATCAAGTGGGGGAGAGATAATTAGTGCAGCATACCATGATCTGTGGAAATTTAGTGCTCCAAGCGCTAGTGGATGGATTGCATGAAAATTTGTACCACATTTACCAGGTCAGCAAATGGGAACACTGCTGTCATTCAGGATTTAATCCTGGATGCACAGGCTGACTTGACTTGTATTACAGAGACTTGGCCAGGTGAGGCTTGGGGGTGTAAGTCTGACCTAGCTCTGTCCTCTGTCCTCAGTGTTTCTCTGTGAAGCAGGAGGTTTGATGAGGGGGATGGGGAAACAAGTCATGGTGGTCTACCATGATTCCATCCACAAGGTATAGATAGGAACTCTCGGTCTGGGGCAAGTGATGCTCTGTATTCTTGGTGCTTGGGGGGAGGGACAACAGTGGGAGAGCTTCTAGTGTCTTGGCCCCACTGCTGGACCTCCTGATGGCACCTGGTATTTTTGGCCACTGTGTGACAGAGTGTTGGACTAGATGGGCCATTGGCCTGATCCAACATTGGCTTCTCTTATGTTCTTATGACTACAGCACTGCACTGTACTTGGAGCTACCCTTGGAGAGTGTTTGGAGGCTGGAACTAGTGCAGAATACTGTGGCTCAACTGCTGGTTGGGGCCAGCTATCAGGAGCATATGTCCCCAATACTACAGCTATTACACTGGCTACTGATCAACTCCCAACCCCAGTTCAATTGGTTGTTTTTGTCCTTTAAAGCCCTACATGGCTTGGGACTGGGGTATCTGAAGGACCGTCTTCTCCCATATGTTCCCATCCAGGAATTAAGATTGTGGGTAGATGCCCTCCTGACTGTCCCACCAATTGAAGATGCTCATTTGGTAGGTACATGGAAGGGCCTTTTTTTTTGGCAGCCCCACAGTGATGGAACAACCTCCCCAGGAAGGTGCGCCAGCCCCCCTGCATTGTCGATCTCCAGGAAGCAATTGAAGACAGTTTTATTTAGGACTGCATTTTGATTGAGTTAGCTTTTTTTTAATTATTATTATTTATATCCCGCCCTCCCCCAAGGCTCAGGGCGGCTTACAAAGAGGCATAAATGCCCAGTTAAAACAATAAAACAGTATAAAAAACAGTATAATAATACAATATAATACGATTAGTAAAATATCGGTGCTTAGATCATAAAATCCAAGATGGGGGTCTGGAGATATTATACCAGAACAACAATATATGTCCCAGCAGCACTGTCATCCACCAGGAACGTCTCGCACCCCCGATGGTACCCACTCAAGCGGTGGTAAAAGTGCGGTGATGGAGGAAGCGGTGATGGAATAGTGGTGGCGATGGCTCCTACTCAAAAGCCTGGTGGAAGAGCTCTGCATAAGGTCCCGCAGGGCCCGGATCTCTTCTGGGAGCTCGTTCCACCAGGTAGGAGCCACCACCAAAAAACACCCTGGCCCTGGTGACAGCAAATTTGATGTTCCTGGGGCCTGGAATGTCCAGGACATTTTGGCTCCCCGACCGTAGTGCTCTTGGGGGAACATGCGGGGAAAGGCGGTCCCTTAGGTAGGCCGGACCCTGGCCATATAGGGCTTTAAAGGTAAGAACCAGCACTTTGAAGCAAATCCGGTACGCCATTGGCAGCCAGTGCAGCGCTTTCAGCACAGGCTGGATGTGATCTCATCTAGGGAGACCCATCAACAGCCTGGCTGCAGCATTCTGCACTAGCTGCAGCTTCCGAATTTGCGACAAAGGCAGCCCCATGTAGAGAGTGTTACAGTAGTCTAAGCTCGAGGTGACCGTCGCATGGATCATTGTGGCCAGGTCATCACGGTCGAGGAAAGGGACCAGCTGCTGCGCCAGCCGAAGATGGTAAAAAGCCGGCTTGGCAGTGGCTGCCACCTGGGCCTCCATCATTAAAGAGGAGTCCAGGAGCACACCCAAACTCCTAACCTCCGATGCTGGCACCAAAGGCGCCCCATCGAAGGTCCGGTGAGGGAGCCCCAACCCCTAACCGATCCGACTCAGACCCAGGACCTCCGTCTTTGCTGGGTTTAGTTTCAGCCGACTCAGTCTGAGCCAACCAGCCACGGCCTGTAACGCCCAATGAAGGTCATCCGGGGTGGAGTCCGACCAGCCGCCCAACATCAGATAGAGCCGGGTGTCATCTGCATATTGATGACACCCAAGCCCACAACTCCAGGCAATCTGGGCAAGGGGGCGCATGTAGATGTTAAACAACATCGGGGATAACACTGCCCCCTGAGGCACCCCACATTCAAGAGGCCGCCTCTGGGACCACTGATCCCCTATCGCACCCTTTGTCCTCGGCCTTGGAGAAAAGAGGCAAACCATTGAAGGGTAAGCCACTGAATCCCCATGTCGACGAGGCGGTGGGCTAGCAACTGGGGGTCGACACTTGAAGCCTCCTCAATAGATAGGAGACTTCTAGCCCTCATTCGTGCCCTCCACGAACATACATCTTTGAGGGTTAGATATTCCAGGCTGGGGCACTTGACTGATAGAATTCCCACCTTAAAGGGAGTTAGGCAAGGCTGTATGCTAGCTCCTGCTCTATTTAATTTTTACCTCAATGATGTTGTTGGGTACCTAGATGATGCAGATCTTCATCCCCCCAAATTGGCTCAGCGCTCTATCACGATACTGTTATATGCTGATGACGCTGTTATTCTTTCTAGAACCCCAATTGGAATGAGAAGGGCAATTAAGAAGTTCGCTTGCTATTGCAATGAGCAGGAGCTGGATATAAATTATACAAAGACAAAGGTGATGGCCTTTGGCAAGAGACCCAAACTAAGGAAGTGGAGGGTAAATGGGCAGAACCTCGAACAGGTAGCTAGTTTTCGCTATCTGGGCATGATCATCCAAGCCTCTGGATCTAGGACTGCCCATAGCCAGGCAGCTGCTTGCTCGGGTGAAAAATCCTCTCATGGCATTCTTAAGTTTTTTAGCTCCCAAGGGGGCTATTTTGTACCACCAGCTTTAAAACTTTACAAGGCCAAAACACTTGCCCAGATGCTCTACGGAACGCTGCTTGGAGCGCCTCCATCTAGCTATGCTCCTTTGGAGCTAGTCCAATCGAAATTTTTGAGAGCAGTGCTCCAAGTTCCGAGATGCGTATCCAACGCAATGGTACGGCTAGAGACTGGCATGCTGAAGGTTGAAGCCATGATTGCCTTATACTCCATCTTCTATTGGCTGAAGATCAATTTGAACCCATGTGGACTAGTGCCCCTGATTCTGTCTGATGCCTTTGAATCTAATTGGCTGATTTCTGTTAAGCGGAAAATCTCGCTCTTGGGGTATGCTCCCTGAGCGCTTTTGGAGATGGGTAGGGACCGAGCTAAGTTAGAAATAAGACAGAGGATCAAGGATACCGAACGTCAATTAGATCTACAGGTGTCCCCAACATTTATAGCGCCAATTAGAATTAAATACATCGTTGCGCAGGCCCCATATCTTAACGTGTTGGAGTCACGTAAACTTAGGAGGGCATATACTCTGGCCAGATGCTCGGCCTTACCCTCTGCAGTTCTTGAGGGTAAATTTAAAAAAATACCCCGAACAGAGAGGCTATGCTTGTGTGCGTTGGGGGAGATTGAATCTCAGGAACATGTGTTCCTAAGATGCCCGGTATTTGAAGAGGCTCGTACTAAACTTATTAATCCCCTTCTGGCAGGCACTTCAGATCAGGACAAGGTGGAGAACTTGTTTCTTAACCTTGAACACACAGCGCTCTATCAGATTGCGAAATTTTGTTCCTTGGTGGTAGAAGCGCATCAGCATGATGGTTGGCACTCGGGTTAGGACTGTTGCTTTTAACTCGTACCGTTCCCTTTGGTAATATGTTTTATTCTTTTATACTATACTGTGTTTTATGGCAGCGTACTTTTAGTTTGGTTTTAATGAACGTAACGTTTATAATGTTAGCTCTTTTTACCTTGCTGAATTTTGGAAATTTTACTATTTGGCCATTGTAATTTATTTTTTCTGGTTTTATATTGCTGGCTAATCGCTGTTACAATAAAATTCATTCATTCAACTGGGGGTCGACCGTGTTGAATGCGGCCGACAGATCTAACAACAACAGTGCCGCCACACCGCCATGATCCAGATGCCTATGGAGGTCGTCAGTCAGAGCGACCAGTACCGTCTCCGTCCCATGACCAGGGCGAAAGCCGGACTGGAAGGGATCGAGGACAGAAGCGTCATCCAGAAAGCCCTGTAGCTGTATCGCCCACTCAATAAGTTTGCCCAAATAGGGCAAATTGGACACAGGCTGATAGTTGGCCAAATTCGGCCGGGTCCAGAGATGGTTTTTTCAAGAGAGGGCAGACCATTGCTTCCTTGAGTGCCCTGGGGAACCGTCCCTCCAAGAGGGACTTGTTGACAATCTCCCGCAGGGCACCTCGAAACCCCTCGCGACCCACTTTAATGAGCCAGGAGGGGCACGGATCAAGGTCACACGTGGTTGGGTGCACAGATACGAGCAATCTGTCAACTTCCTCCAGGCTGAGTGGACTAAAACTCACCAAACCCGGCACCAAAGACGTGCAAGGGGCCTCAAGTTCGCTCACTGTATCAATAGTGGCGGGGAGGTCACGGCGGAGCGCCAAGACTTTCTCTGCAAAATAGCTCGCAAAAGCCTCACAGCCAATGTCCAATTCCCTGGCATTTTGCCTGCCCTGTGGCAGAGCTGTCAATGACCGAATCGTT